GCTATCTGTTGTGTTTAATCGACAAGATTGGTAAAGTTGGATAGTAATAAATGAATTGTTTTTCAGATTATTTCAGTGATCAATTTTTATATGACTTCTCACTGAATAAGTTGTTGAAATTTTATTCATGTTTTTTTTCAGAATGAAGAAGTATTTTCTCCAGAGTATTTTGTAATTATTTCTTGTAAAAATAAATTTGTTTCCAGAGCAATATATCTAATGTCGGGGTTTAAATTTGATGTTCATATTAATAAATGACTGAAATATATATTTTTTTAAATATTTTAATTCATATTCACATATATATATTATACAGTTATTTACATTACATTTCATAGCAATATCAGACATACAAATATTTAAAATCGCGGCTGTGTTCGGGCAACCCTTGGTCTTTTTGTTTGACATGGTTTCTTGGCAAGTCTCTGAGGCAATGGCATGGTAAAGTCACACAGAGTACTTGTCACTGTATTTGCTTTTACTGAAGTCAAACTAGACTTGTCACTGTCTTTCATTAGTTTATGAATAAGGCGATCTTTTTGATCAGATGTTTTTGTAAGCCAGCATTGATATAACAATTGGTGGCGCTTAAAATGTCCAAACAGCAGGTAATTTCCTTGGCTGTACAGTGCTCGTCTCAAGTCGGCAAACTCCAGCTTGACTAGTTCTTGGAGCGTTTTAACTAGTTCTGGAAAACTTTGTGGTTTCCAGTTAATCGCCGTTTTGAATACGTGATTTATCGATTCGCAATTGTTATTTGTCCATGCAACCAATATAAAAAAGAAGATGTGGTATGATTGGCAATGAGACAACTCTTCACAAGCAAGAGACAAATTGACAGAGATTAATAACTATAAGTCACCGTACGGTCTCCAACAATGAATAAAGCACATACCACATAGTTATTATTTCATAAATTATTTCATACAATATCTTAAACAGACAATTTGGTAAAAAAAATATACAAATCGGATTTCCTTCTGACATACTTGATCTTCTTAAAGAAAAAATAGATTTAAAGAAATTGTATTTGAAAATATTTCTGTTGTTTTTCTTCATTTTTACACATGATAGATTTAGGTATAAAGTATTCAAATTATCTTGTATTACAAAAATCTTTATTTTCAAATCATGTGGTAAAAGCATATTTTCAAGGCATTTGTTCGAAGCATAACATTTTCTGTCAAAATTATAGTCTTTAGCTCTTAACACATACGGGATAATTTTCGTAAATAATGTGCTAAAAACTGTGGAACATTTTAAAAAACTTTTGTCTCCTTTATATATTTGAAAATGAAACTTCAAAGTTCGATAAATGATTTATAAACTTCTTTTACTTTTAGAAAAAAAAACAAATGGCGAACAATTACAAAAAAATAAGTACCGTATGAAGCCTTTGTAAAAGCTATCAAACTGGTTGAAAACTAGTGGTTTTGATAAACCCCAAGGACGCCACATGATTATTTTTTTTCAATTCAATCGTAATTCGTACTAAGTATGAAGCAGTAATAGAAAGTGGAAAAGCAAACAACAGGTTTTATAGTTTTTTTTTCAGAATTTACTCATATTTTTTAGTGAAACCATTTGTATTTACACGCATCTTTGTCGGAATTTAAACAAATACAAAACACTTATTAATATATCTATTCCTTTTGTCTTGGTATCTCTTACATAAACATTTAACAAGCTGACAAAACTCTAACTTTTTAGTTGGCGCACATCAAAGTCGTGCACCTATGGCAAATAACTTTGTCGGGAAAGAAATAAAACAAAAGCAAAATTAGTTGTCCTTTTAATCATTGTAAATAAGAACAACACATTTAATTATAAAATATTAAGCATTAATCTTTTCGATACAATTGTTAATTACTGAAAATAAAAAGATTATGATTGTTTAATCAGTTGTTATGTTATATGGCACGTGTCAATCGGTTCACTGATTTTCGGCATATCAAAAAAAAACTGACACGTGCCTAAACAATGCTTTATTTCTCGTTTATTTGTGATTATTTTTCTATAAAATTTTAAATTTATGCATTAAATATCAATCTCTGACTTAATATGTAAAAATAATACATGTAACATCACCCCTTCTAGTCCTTAGTGGCATAGTATACGTCCTTAGTGCACTAAGGACTCCTTAGCAGTGTTTAGACGTACCGGATTTTCATAAATATCATTCTTTACACTAGAAATGTTATTTATAAACAAGCGTATGAGTTTAGTAATGACTAGTATATCACTATCGGACACGCAAGATAAAGATGTATATTACACCTGATAGTTTTAAAATGGAAAGTTACAAGTTATCGGCCGTGTACACTGATCAATACCCTCAGAAGTGAAGCGATGCATGAACATGCTTTATGTAATTGTGTAATAAGAGTTTTTAAACCCGACAGGAAATCGCTTGAATACCTGGACGTGTCACCTCACAATACCTCAGGGAATAATTCCTTTAGCCATGCTGGTGATCAGATAAGAGAAGGTCCGAATTTATTTAAATAAGTTTATTACATAAAAGAATTATGAACAAATTAGATTTTCGAAAACGATTTTACACGGAACACTTATTTATGACTTTGAACTTTGACTTTTTAACTAATTCCCATATAAAATTCTTGTTTCAAAAACTTCGTAAAGAAAAAACAGTTTTAAAACGACAGACCATAGTTATTTAAAAAAATAATTACATTTTCCGTATCAAGTTAGTTAGTCGGATAAATGCGACTACGTTAGGTTACTGCTGGTTTTGGTCATTTGTGGTTTATAGATATATCGGGGTTCTAAACCGAGAAGATGTCAAAATGGCCGCACGCAGAGAATTGATACTCTAAATTTAAAATCGATGGTGATCTCTTATCTAGCAGAATAAAACTTTAATATTTATGAATTTGTGCTTTTTTATACAGAATGAACATAATCTCAATTTTTTATTTTTTTGCGAAGTTTCCCATTAATAGCTTATTTGGGTGTATCATTTCTATCTGTTCACCTTAGATCAAGTTATCGACTTTTGTAATTTTTAATTCAAAACTAGCATTTCATTGCCATAGAATATCAATTTGTACTCTATTATATATCAACATTAAAGCATAATAAGCATTGCATAATTTGATGCTTTATGAAAAACTCTCTTCTATTAAAGTTTAAATTTTATTTTGCAGGATATATAGGCTCATAGACATTCCATGTTGTGGATGATTTTGACATTGGAAAATGATAACAACACATAAAATGCCACCCAGTTGTTAGCTTTAAGAGCGTACATTGTATGTGATGACACCAGCGTCATTGAAGTAGCATTTGTACATGTTGTACAAGAACTGTTGGAATTTGTAATTTTTGAAACTTTCGTTGTGAAAAATATTTATATTATAAACTGTTAACCTTTCACATTGACATGCTTTTTTGGTTAGGATACAGAGGATGTAGTAACGATCTAATAATGTAGGGAAAATCATTATTTGTAATATATTAAAGTCTGTTTAAAAAAACAAATGTATGTGATTTCACGGACTGTAATACTTATATCATAAGGTATATAATGTACTTTTCGTTCATATATGCTCATTTGATTACATAAAGAATTACTCGTTAAAAGATGTACTAGTATTTATTGTTATATTTTGCCTAAATTGAATATAGTTTTATACAGTTTAAGTTGAGTACTTACGGAAAATTATGTACGCTTGAAAATAGAACATTTTAACACCGTCACTTTGAATACTTTAGTCAACTGTTCTGAAAGTGAACATCTGGTGTTCTGAATCTTAACACTTTTGTTCTTGAACATGTTCTATGTGTTCAAAAAGTGTTACAGGGCTGTTGAACGCGTCGACGTGTTAAGATTTTGAACATTCGGAGACGTTAAATTGTTGAACATTGAGTGTTAAGAACTCTAACATCAAGTGTTCAAAAATGAAACACAAAGGCATTAAAAACTGAACACCACACATTCAATTTATGAACACTAGTGTAAACATTTGGAACACCATTACACGTTCAAAAAGTGTTACAAAAAAGCGTTCAAGCAGTGTTCTATTTATTAACACTTAGATTTACAGTGTAGGATTAAAGATAATGTGAACGCTAACTGGTTTTATTTAGAACGATTCAAATTTAGATCGATTTATATTAACCTAGTGTGAACGGGGTCTAACATCATATTTTATAAATAAACTACTGCATTTTGACTAAATATGAAAACTGTTTTTTTGTTTTTGTTTATAATTGTATACTGTCCTACTGAGCAAGAGAGTGGGGAGACCAAGTTTATTTCTGAAATATTACAGGGCTTTCAAAACGGCTACATAAAAAGACTAATGCAGCCGGAACGTCTCTAGAAATATGCGGTTATAAAATAACAAAAATCACAAAAAAAGTGTACAATATCAGTAGATTTACAAACATTATTTCAAACCTATTCGTAAATGTTAGATTACAATAGCAATATGTTTATTTAAACATTCTGCGGCGCTGATACAATAAATGAAATTACTCAACTTAGTGTCCTTTATAACTAAAACTGCTACAAGAATGGCGGTTTCAAATATGATTGATTGAATAATTGTTGGTATCCTAACGTCCAGTGGCAAATATTTCATGCATGTTCAGGACGAGAACAGATTAACAATAAATACAATAGGTAGGTCCTGTAATATAGGCCGTTCGATGAAGGTTGACGAAATTTCGAGTGCCACTTGAAAATGAGAGTATAGTGGATAGGGAAATACATTTTGTCTTGCAATAGGCCACCTGAGGACCCCTCAAAAAGTTGTTGGAAAAGTTCTTAACGTGCAGACAGTGTGGCACTTTCTTTATACGATGCATCTGATTTAACATCCCTATTCTAACCGGACGTGGTTTCAGCTATGAAAATCCACAAACATGTCCGTTAACCAGTAAACTTGTTATAGTTGTTAGGCATTAATTCGATCCTGTGCAGCGCTGAAATCTGTGGTTTTTTTTTATTTGTATTATAAAAAGAAAGAAAAAAGTTCAGGCGAAAACTATTTTTTTATTCGTGTATATATCGTTAATGTAAATTAAAAACTAATACACTTAGTACATAGATGATTTGTATAGTACGTTATCTATATTATAAACGTTACTCAATGACGGCAAACAAAGACAGGACATTTTGAATGGTGAATAATATAATCACTGACACTTCCAAGCAAAGTGCGTCTTATTGTTCCTAAACCACGACTCCCCATAATTATCATGGCGGCATTCATGTCGTTAGACTTGTGAATGACTGTATGACCAGGATCCCCTCCTTCAAGTTTAATTACTCTGGCTGTTACCTAAATTATAAAATTTGTAAGTTAGTAAAACTGAAAAAAATAAGTCTTAAAATGTTTAAAAAGAGCAGAATGTGCTTACACAAAAGACGATTGGTGTTATGTTATCGTCGGTCTTTGGGTGCATTTATTGAAAATATATTTGAAGCTGCATAGTTCTTCGGAAAAACAAAGTGAGACTATGTCAGAAACATGCTTTGTTCTGTAATTGTCTATTTTGATACCAATCGACCAACCAATATCGTCGGAATCGGAGTATTTTGGGATACATAGAGGTTTTTTTTAAACGAAGACGACTTGATTTTGCATCGGAACTTAATTATAAAACTGAATGAAATATTGCTTTTTCAAAACATTTCCTACGCTGAATATCTCTATTTGTCTTTAGTTAACGGTTTTAGTGAACCTCTTCACTGATGTATCAAAAAGTAGATTTGCATTTGTGTGTTTTAAACAGTTTAAGTGTATAATTCTTTGTATTCCGAAATTTATGAACACATTCTCATATGAAAATGAATAAATTGAATTTAGGTGCTATAAACATATTACTGGTTAGTGTTAAGATGTTCAGTCATTTTTTTTCATTGGTTTATTGCGGTACTATAATTGAGCTCTGAGCTGTATCACCTAACTATACAAATTATTTTAAGACTTACGTTGTGGTCTTTTAGCTTTTGTTCGATTGCTTTGCACACTTCATTTCCTTTCCTACTTTCTTCTTCAAATGCTATTGATATTGCTCCTGGATCTGTGGGTGCCCATATTGCTGCCAAAAAAACCCCGAAAAAAGTCTTAAAAAAACCTGAAGGATTCCAATTTTCTTTGGAGTACACATTTTTATCCTGTCTCATTGGTGTCTATTCAGCATCTTCTTTTATTCCTCTTTAGTTTATTTATTTGCAACGTTTTAAAAAAACCATTAATGTTGATCGTGTAACCAACTGACAGAGCTAAGAGACAAATTTTTGACAATTAAACAGAATATGTTTATTGTGTTATGGTTTTTTCTGTCTGTTCAGATAGATCATTAGTTAATTATTGTAAGATAGTATAATACTTAAAAGTCTGTAAGTCGTTCGGTTTAAAAGCTCTTGTATCCAGGGTACTAGTAACCAAAGGTAATAAAAATTGCATCCCAACTCCAAATTAGTATGAAAAATCGGATGTGTCAATATGTTCCACACTCGTACATCAACGTTTATCACAATGGTTTCAAGTAACAGATTTTGACCTTGTAAGAACATTCCTTGATGTATTATACTTACACTCATAAGTATAAACAGATCTGTGATGAACACAATGCAATATCACTATATCGTCATTTTCTCTGTATAAATTCGAGCTGTAGACTGGAAAAGGAGAATACCATGTAAATCTGATCATTGTATTTTGTCACAATTTAGTATTTTAGTAATATATTTTTACTTTTATTTGTTGATTTTTGTTGATAGTTTATAGTTTGTATTAACCCGAATAATTCAACCCCTCTCCGCAATCGATCTCTTCTACTTGCGAGGTTAATGAAGTAATCGTAGATCTGCGGAATATAACGACTGAATTATTCGGGTTATGTTTGTATCTCTGTTTTAATGTATGTTTGATTGGAGGTATGCCCCTTTTCTTCATCTTCGCTAACCAAGGGTTAAGAGGAGGGGACTGGATCGTAACCCTTGGCTGGCGAAGATATCTTCTCTTTCATTTTATATTTTGTGTCTGATATTTGAACTTATTTTCCCTCATTTTATATTTTATTTTTCTAATTAATACAATCTTACAATATAAACTGTGTTTAAACGTGATGTCAGTCTGAGTAGAGGGCAGCATTTGTAAATAAAAGTTTGTACATGGAAAAAAGGGGGGGGGTCATTCACCCAAGCGCCTGTGATTGTTTAATGATTCTCATAAAAAATATTTTCGTTTCTGCAGTTTTTATGACAGATTGGAATACTGCTCGGCTGTAATACTTGCTTATTCACTTTCTACCTGTTAAATCAACTAACTAAAATGATTATGTGTCCTTTGTCGGCCATGCAGATGATTAACTTTTCAAAAGAATACAGCGACGGGTTTATCCGCATTGCTATGCATTTAAAACATATTGTGTTTGGTTCTTGCGGATTGAACATAGAAAGATGTTTATTTTGTATGGACTTAACTAACCCAATGTATATATGAAATCTCTGTATAGTTTGGAATTTATTTTGTACAGGTACCGGTATTTAATCTGTTATTAATTCATATCATGCAATATCCGAGTTGAGATGTGATTTATGGATTATAAATAGTGTTTTATCTGCTTGATAAAACTTTATACTGGCAACTGATTATATGCTTTTTGTTGACATTGGTCTGCATACGATCTTAAAATTGAAATAGGTCGACCAGAATCAGCTGCGGGTTAAAGATTTCACAATACGATTAAAAAAGTTCAGTATTTTTATAAAATACAATTAAAATTTGTCAAATTTTTCAATACTCGACTATGAGCAATACACGCAGTAATCAAGTTGTTTATTATCTAAAGTCGATAAAAAGTTTGCGATAAACGACAAATGTTGTACCTCAAGTATGTAAGTGAATAGATAAATGGAATTATAGAGAAACTAAAACACTTACAGTCCAGAGCCTTATCAGCATCTGCACTTCCATCCATCGCTATTACGACCACTCTATTTCCTTCAGTCATCTTTGGTCTTCTGCTGTTTATCGTCAGTAGGTCACATGCACATTAAGTTATCAAGCGGGTTATTCAAATGATTTTTGTATAAAGTTATATAATAAGTCGCTCCAAATAACCTCAGTCCTGTTAATGCTCAAACTGATTACGATTCTTGCTCTTTGAAAATTTTATGAACATGAAAGCTGCAGTTATTTCTAGTTTTGTTTTGGGCAACAACTACTTTCAGATATCAAGATAAATAACGTAATCATGAACAATATTGACAATGACACATTAAAATAGAAATGGCAGGTGCAGATCTGAATACGATTTTGTTTTCAAGTCAAAAAGATTTCCGAGATTATCGAAAATTTTGAATGAAAAATGAGCTATTTACGTTATCAGGTTATTAGATATCTAAAGCGATATTAACTGTTCTGATAGTTCTCTTGAACATTCCTTGTGTTTCAAAAACAAGCACATGAACTATCTTTACTTTTCCATAATTTTAATATTGATCTAATGTTTTATTAATGATTTATTGCCGTTTAAAACATTATGTATATGAGTGATTTTTTTTTAGTTCAAATGCGAACATCCTTAGGCTGACAAGAAGATGAAACATTTGTTTAAAAGAGAAAATGATTATTTATAGACATATCACCTTCTATTTCTTTTTGTTCTTGGTGGATATATATATATATAGTTGTCGGCAATTATACTACATGTCTCTATTTTTAATACACCTCCATTGTCAGATTTCTCCTTAAATAATGTGTACAAGATTCATCTGTAAAAAATGAGTATGCAAGAAAAAAATGACATAAAATGAAATATAAATTTATTGCAACTCAAATCACTTTAATGACGATATACGAGAACTGGAATATTAGAATGGTGTAAAATGTAATCACTGACGCTCCCCATAACTGTCCGTCTAAAAGCTCCGACACCTCTCGACCCAATCACAATACATGTTGCCTTGCATTCCTCTGTTGTTGTTAATATTGCGTGTCCAGGATCGCCTTGAACTCTTATAACTTTGCCATTAATCTGCAATTAAGAACAAAACTTAAATTATTTTATATACATTTTGTGTTACACTTAAACACACTGAATGTTGTGAAACGACGAAATGGAAAGGAAGAGCAGAACAGGAATTTCAGATGTTACTGAGAAGTAGTGTTTGCAAAGGACGGACGTTTTCCAATAAACATTTTCTATTATATTAAACGTAATTGTCACATCGTATACCTAACCTTTGTACACTGTACACGTATTTTTCTCATTTACTACTTTTTCCCAGATCTCACTTTTTAACCCCTATATCAGACTTTCACACTTTTTTTAACCCTATGTCCCATGGCCACATCCCCGCTTTTTTAAAACCCTATATCCTACATCCCAAAAGCGTATCACCTTCCTTCCCCCTTAATAAATACAAAATGTATATTATATTTATAAATGCCGAATTCATTCCATTACACCTATATCAGCCCGATAAGATAATCGAGGGCCTGCTATATGGTCGAGTGATCTTTCAATTTCATCTATGCAATTTTTTCAGAAATACATGTAACGTAAGTACTTTTATATAGACGCTATTGTTTTATAAAAATTGGAAAATCCTCATTCTTTTAGAATTATGTTAAATTTTAGCGATAAATGTCATATGTGATGTCACTGTTCATATTAGACATAATACCGCTATTTTACAAATACTTTTGGTACACTTTGATATGAATAACAGCAAAAACATCTCTGTATAACAATCTTTTAATAGTTTTTGCCTTTTCCCCCTTTAATTCTATAGGAGTTTGAAGGCACAAAGCGACGCAAGACCAACTATAAAATGTAGATGCTGGTATCTGATAGCGACACATAAGGATAAATTCTGTCGTCATGTGTCGTCATCTACGTAACACCTCGTTTGTCCGAAACTCATTCAAAAAGGATTGACAGAGTTCAACCAACCTTGCATAGATTCTTCAACTAGACATGTTCAGTAGTTTTCGTTTGTTGATGTGGTTAATAAGTGTTTCTCGTTTTTTATATAGATTAGACCGTTGGTTTTCCCGTTTGAATGGTTTACTTTTATAAATTTTGACTTGGATGGAGGGTTGTCTCATTGGCACTCATACCACATCTTCTTATATCTATGAAGGGTTGAACCTGCTTTCTAAATTTAACCAATTCATATCAATTTTGAATGTTAATATATAGTAGTTGAACACAACAACACAATATATTGGTCCGCGGGTATATGTCCTACTGACCTCAAATTTTTGCAACAACTTTTCAATATGGCTGGTAACCTTTGTAGCATTTTGACTTTCTTTTTCAAACTTCTCTGCCATAGTTTTGGTATCATTTGCCGCCCAGAAAGTTGTGAATGGGTTCCAGCCAGACCCACCGTGTGAGGCTAAAATTGGTAACATTATCACTATAAGAAAGCCGCATTGTAAAATCTTCAAAGCATCATAGCATAGAAAATGTTCTTAAAAAGAGTGTAAAACTGTGACCAAGGTAACATTTTGTCAATTGATCATAATCCTGAGACATATATAAATATATATAATTGAAATCGATAGGTACTTTGAATAAATACGCATCAGTTATATTTGACATTGACATTTAAAGTTATATATATTTATAGATATACTTATTTGTATTTTTATTCATATAATGATATTGCGCATCTAATATCCTATGGTAAACGATTCTATAAATAAACAAAGTTTACTTCGGTGATGATAACAAATACGTACGAGATATATACACACACATATCTGGTATTTATGGTCTTGTTGATATTTACAAATGATTTTAAACATTTGAAATATGTCGTACAGGTTAGCCTAATGAAAAGTAAGTCAATATTATTTGCCACTAAATTTATTCTACGCTCAAAGTTTGTCTCAAAGAAATTCAATGTAAAGAATTCGAAATATTTTTATGAAAAAGTTTGATTTTTTTAAAGATTCGTCAACTGTTGCAACTTTGAGAAATAAAGCAACTTCGCAACAGTTTAGAAACTAAATGATTACCTAAAAATACTTTCATTCAAAAGAAAGCTAAACATCAGTTGTAAACAGTTGATCCTACAGAACTATTTTACTGTGAATTTTTCGAAATACTAAGGATTTTCTACACCAAGAATAGATTAACTCAGCTATATTTTGCAAAAATCTTTCGGACTTAAGGTTATCATTACCCTTCAATAAAATTGAGAATGGAAATGGGGAATATGTCAAAGAGACAACAACCCGACCAAAGAGCAGACAACAGCCGAAGGCCACCAATGGGTCTTGAACGCAGCGAGAAAATCCCGCACCCGGAGGTGGTCCTCAGCTGGCCCCTAAATAAAATTGTGTACTAGTTCAGTGAAACTTTATTTTGTCTTTTTCACTTTTTTTATTCGAGCGTCAGTGATGAGTCTTATGTAGACGTGTCATGAAATATAAGTTTAAAGTGGAAGACATATATTCTGTAATATTATTTCCACTGGAACAAATATGTATAGAATATTTGTTCCAACAGGAACAGTTATTAAGACATTGTTATAAGGTTTCCAGGGGAACAACTATTAGGCGGAGCAAATACATGTTGACAGACGAAACGCGCGTCTGGCGTACACAATTTTAATCCTGGTATCTATGATAAATTTATTTCCATGATTAAAAGGTATACTTACGATCCATTGTATAGTGTGATGTGTGATGTAAACAATAAACTACTTTAACCTGGTCTTCCTTCTGGTATATATTCTTTGCATACCCTGTAAAAATTCGGATCGAAGAGAAGTAGTTCTACGATATTAATATATATCTCTGACGAAAGGAGACAACATAGGCGATATTTATATATTTGTAACAAATGAAAATAAAATATGCTCCTATTTAGTTTCACTCATGATCTTAAGAAAACCTTAAGAAGAAGAAACTTCTTTGAGATTGAAAGGTGAGTTTATATTTAATTGAGAATGAGTATGGGGACTGTGTCAAATAGACAACAACCCGATCAAAGAGCATAAAACATCCCAAAGCCACCAATGAGTCTTCAACACAGCGAGAAAATCCCGCACCCGGAGGCGGGCTTCAGCTGGCCCCTTAACAAAAATGTTTACTAGTTCAGTGAAAATAGACCTCACACTAAACTCCGAAACATAACTAAACTAAAATAAAAAAATAACACACTAGACTAACAAATGCCAGATGCTCCTGACTTGGGACAGGCGCAAAAATGCGGCTGGGTTAAACATGTTTTGTGAGATCTCAACCCCCTCCTATACCTTAAGCCAATGTAGAATAAACAAACACACAGCAATACGCTACTCTTCTTTGAGACTCTCTGGTTGTTCATCTAGTCAAATTTTTTGGAAACATTATTTAAAACATTATTCACTTTTTTTAACAACAAATAATCAATACCTTTTAAAAGTTCACTATGTCTTAGCAGTGGGAAATCTAGTGAACGAAAACAAAAGAAAATTCACTTTTCTTATGATAGAGTCGAAAAAGTCAATAATAAAACAATGCCGGTGACGATACTGATCAAAAGTTATTTCTAAATAATAATTGTACATTTTATAGAAATTATTTGTTAAACTGTGTTATTAGAAATATACATGCAAATACACGATGTTTTATGTTCAGTATTTATCAAGATAATTGCATTAGAAGCTTGTAAAATTGATATTTTAAAAAATGCCAATCATTGCTGCATATTGATAAATAAAAAAAAATGGAAAAAAGCATGTACGTACAAAATCTAAGGATCTTTCGGGTTCCCAATTTTCGGAGTGTTCCACAAAGTCCTTAGCATGTTACAATTTCCCAAAGTATACTTATTTTTCACACCTAAGTTATCGAGCACACCGGTCTGCTCTTGTCACGTACATTCAATAGAGACATATAGTCTTTTCGTGAAAATAAAAATTTAAAAGTCTGTCTGTGCAGGTTAAGAAATTAAAGATAACTATTCTTATAAAGTAGGTATCTTTCTACTATTTTTTATACAATTTTAAGAAAAGGTCGTCTCGATTTTTGTACATGTATTTGCGGTCTTCTCGATCTATTCACATTCAATGTTTACATCGAGATAAGGTCCGTTTAAATTTGCTTAGTAACTTAATTTCAAAAGTGCCAATCTTTGCTGAATATCAATCGATTACTTTGGAACATTTTCCCTGACTTTCTCTGGTCTAGTTGTATATATATACGAATAATTAGCATGTTCCAGAGAGGTATACAGTCAGAAGAAAAATAAATTGAAGTTCGTACTCCAGGAATTTATTCGCATAGCAACATTTTAAACCAATTTTACATCAAGCTTCTATAGCCTGCTGTACTCGTCGTTTGCTACTTAAGGAGGGAAATGATAACATTAAATGGAAGTTTTGTTTTTATTTCAACTTATTTCTATTTTTACTATTTACCAGAACGTTTTCCCGTGAATCCATAATTAAAAGCGTCCTTGCTAAAATTGGACAAACATTGAGAAGATCTAGTTTTCAGTGTTTACAGGGGATGTAATATTTTGTCACTAGATTTCCCACTGTTAGACTGTGTCCACTTTACTGGATTTTTTATTCAACTTTATTTTTTTAATTAACACCAGAAGCATTTTAAGACGGGGATAATAAGGTCTCCAATTATGCTCGTCGTACCTCGTTTTTCTCACTGTTTCTAAAGTCGTACAGATAAATTTTATATTTTCCAGTTGTATACTATTGATATATAGGGGCAATAAAACACAATTTTGTATAATATAAACACAAAAGATACACTCAATTTGTGCGTCAGATATATTTGACACTGACATTTAAAGTTGTATTTGAAAACACGTTTAAAAATTACATATAAGATACAATATGTATGTAATAGATATAATTACATATAAGATACAATATGTATGTAATAGATATAAGATGTAAACAAATATCTTACATTGCAATGCTGATTCAGCTTCCGTACTACCATCCATTGCTATGACAACGACTCTATTCTGAATACAGCGTTCTCCATCCATCTTCAGCTACCAATAAGTAAACACCTTTTCACTGCTAGTGCGACTACAGACACGCAAGACAAGTCACAAAATACGAAATGTTTAAATATAAATATAGAGGAAGTAGATTTCAGTGGTTGTCGTTTGTTGATGTGGTACTTAACTGTTTCTCGTTTCTCGTTTTTTATATAGATTAAACCGTTGGTTTTCCTGTTTGAATTGTTTTACACTAGTCATTTTGGGGCCCTTTATAGCTTGCTGTTCGGTGTGAGCCAAGGCTCCGTGTTGAATGCCGTACTTTGACCTATAATTGTTTACTTTTTACACATTGTAACTTGGATGGAGAGTTGTTTCATTGGCACTCATACCCCATCCTCTTATTTCTATTGACGTAAGATGTATATCGAGTTATACTGGCGATGAGCTGTGGTATTGCTTTTGTACAGCATAATGAGAGAGTTTACATAGATCCACTTTAGCAACAGTGAAAATATCTTTATTCTTTATATATATACATTGTTATTTATAAAGTGGCAGAAGCCTATAGAACGTTCATATACCAATGAGACAGAGTTATCCAATGGGTATAAACCCTATACAACGTTTATACACCAAAGATTCACAGTTACTCAACGCGTATAAACCCTATGCAACGGTCATACACCAATACGACAGAGTTATTCGATGGGTATTAACCCTATATAACGTTCATGAACAAATGAGACAAAGTGATTCGATGGGTATAAACCCTATGTAACGTTCATATACCAATGATTCACAGTTATTCAACGGGTAAAAACCCTATGCAACGGTCATACACCAATAATACACAGTTTTTCAATAGGTATAAACCCTATAAAACGCTCATATACCAATGAGACACAGTTTTAGTGGGTACAAACCCTATACAACATTTATACACCAATGAGACAGAGATATTCGATGGGTATAAACCCTATATAACGTTCATACACCAATAAGACAGAGTTATTCGATGGGTATAAACCCTAAACAATATTTCATACACCAATGAGACAGAGTTATTCGATGGGTATAAATCCTATATAACGTCCATACACCAATGAGACAAGAGTTATTCGATGGGTATAAACCCTATATGACGTTCATACACCAATGAAACAGAGTTATTCGATGGGTATATACCTTATATAACGTTCATACAACAATGATACAGTTATTCAGTTGGTATAAACCCTATATAACGTTCAAACAACAATGAGACAGAGTTAATCGATGGGTATAAACCATACTTATCGTTCATACATAAATGAGATAAAGTTGTTCGATGGGTATAAACCATATATGAAGTTTATACAGCAATGAGACAGAGTTTTTCGATGGGTATAAACCCTATATATCGTTCATACACCAATAAGACAGAGTTATTCGAAGGGTATAAACCCTAAACAATGTTAATACACCAATGAGACAGAGTTATTCGATGGGTATCAATCCTATATAACGTTCATACACCAATGAGACAGAGTTATTCGATGGGTGTAAACCCTATATGACGTTCATACACCAATGAGACAAAGTTTTTAGATAGGTATAAACCCTATACATCGTTTATACACCAATGAGACAGAGTTCGAAGGGTATAAACCCTATATAACGTTCAAACAACAATGAGACAGCGTTATTCGATTAGTATAAACCATATTTATCGTTCAAACATAAATGAGACAAAGTTTTTCGATGGGTATAAAACTTATATGAAGTTTATACACCAATGAGACAGAGTTATTCGATGGGTATAAACTCTATATAACGTTCATACACCAATAAGACAGAGTTATTCGATGGGTATAAACCCTAAACAATGTTCATACACCAATGAGACAGAGTTATTCGATGGGTATAAACCCTATATAACGTTCACACAACAACGAGACAGAGTTCTTCGATGGGTATAAACCATATTTATCGTTCATACATAAATGAGACAAAGTTTTTCGATGGGTATAAACCCTATATGAAGTTTATACACCAATGAGACAGTGTTATTCGATGGGTATAAACCATATTTATCGTTCATGAATAAATGAGACAAAGTTTTTCGATGGGTATAAACCCTATATGAAGTTTATACACCAATGAGACAGAGTTGTTCGATGGGTATAAACCCTATATAACGTTCATACACCAATAAGACAGAGTTATTCGATGGGTATAAACCCTATATGACGTTCATAAACCAATGATACAGAGTTATTCGATGGGTATAAACCCTATATGACGTTCATACACCAATGAGACAAAGTTTTTAGATAGGTATAAACCCTATACATCGTTTATACACCACTGAGACAGAGTTATTCGATGGGTATAAACCCTATATAACGTTTAAACACCAATGAGACAGAGTTATTCGATGGGTATAAACCATATTTATCGTTCATACATAAATGAGACAAAGTTTTTCGATGGGTATAAACCCTATATGAAGTTTATACACCAATGAGACAGAGTTATTCGATGGGTATAAACCCTATATAACGTTCATACACCAAATAAGACAGAGTTATTCGATGGGTATAAACCCTATATCACGTTCATACACCAATAAGACAGAGTAATTCGATGGGTATAAACCCTAAATAATGTTCATACACCAATGAGACAGAGTTATTCGATTGGTATAAATCCTATATAACGTTCATACACCAATGAGACAGAGTTATTCGATGGGTATAAACCCTATATGACGTTCATAAACCAATGATACAGAGTTATTCGATGGGTATGAACCCTATATGACGTTCATACACCAATGAGACAAAGTTTTTAGATAGGTATAAACCCTATACATCGTTTATACACCAATGAGACAGAGTTATTCGATGGGTATAAACCCTATATAACGATCAAACAACAATGAGACAGAGTTATTCGATGGGTATTAACCATATTTATCGTTCATACATAAATGAGAGAAAGCTTTGCGATGGGTATAAACCCTATATGAAGTTTATACACAAATGAGACAGAGTTATTCGATGGGTATAAACCATATTTATCGTTCATACATAAATGAGACAAAGTTTTTAGCAAGGTATAAACCCTATACATCGTTTATACACCACTGAGACAGAGTTATTCGATGGGTATAAACGCTACAATATATGACGTTCATACACCAATGAGACAGAGTTATCCGATTGGTATAAACCCTATATGACGTTCATACACCAACGACACAGAGTTATTCGATGGGCATATACCCTATATAACGTTCATACAACAATGATACAGTTATTCAGTTGGTATAAACCCAATACAACGTTCATATAATGATGAGACACAGTTATATAATGGGTATAAACCCTATATATCGTTCATACATAAATGAGACAAAGTTTATCAATGAGTATAAACCCTTTATAATGTTTATACACCAATGAGACAGAGTTATTCGATGGGTATAAACCCTATATAACGTTCAAACAACAATGAGACAGAGTTATTCGATTAGTATAAACCATATTTATCGTTCAAACATAAATGAGACAAACTTTTTCGATGGGTATAAACCCTCATTGTAGTTTATACACCAATGAGACAGAGTTATTCGATGGGTATAAACTCTATATAACGTTCATACACCAATAAGACAGAGTTATTCGATGGGTATAAACCCTAAACAATGTTCATACACCAATGAGACAGAGTTATTCGAGGGGTATAAATCCTATATAACGTTCATACACCAATGAGACAGAGTTATTCGATGGGTATAAACCCTAAACAATGTTCATACACCAATGAGACAGAGTTATTCGAAGGGTATAAATCCTATATAACGTCCATACACCAATGAGACAAGAGTTATTCGATGGGTATAAACCCTATATGACGTTCATACACCAATGAAACAGAGTTATTCGATGGGTATATACCTTATATAACGTTCATACAACAATGATACAGTTATTCAGTTGGTATAAACCCTATATAACGTTCAAACAACAATGAGACAGAGTTAATCGATGGGTATAAACCATACTTATCGTTCATACATAAATGAGATAAAGTTGTTCGATGGGTATAAACCATATATGAAGTTTATACAGCAATGAGACAGAGTTTTTCGATGGGTATAAACCCTATATAACGCTCATACACCAATAAGACAGAGTTATTCGAAGGGTATAAACCCTAAACAATGTTAATACACCAATGAGACAGAGTTATTCGATGGGTATCAATCCTATATAACGTTCATACACCAATGAGACAGAGTTATTCGATGGGTGTAAACCCTATATGACGTTCATACACCAATGAGACAAAGTTTTTAGATAGGTATAAACCCTATACATCGTTTATACACCAATGAGACAGAGTTCGAAGGGTATAAACCCTATATAACGTTCAAACAACAATGAGACAGCGTTATTCGATTAGTATAAACCATATTTATCGTTCAAACATAAATGAGACAAAGTTTTTCGATGGGTATAAAACTTATATGAAGTTTATACACTAATGAGACAGAGTTATTCGATGGGTATAAACTCTATATAACGTTCATACACCAATAAGACAGAGTTATTCGATGGGTATAAACCCTAAACAATGTTCATACACCAATGAGACAGAGTTATTCGATGGGTATAAACCCTATATAACGTTCACACAACAACGAGACAGAGTTCTTCGATGGGTATAAACCATATTTATCGTTCATACATAAATGAGACAAAGTTTTTCGATGGGTATAAACCCTATATGAAGTTTATACACCAATGAGACAGTGTTATTCGATGGGTATAAACCATATTTATCGTTCATGAATAAATGAGACAAAGTTTTTCGATGGGTATAAACCCTATATGAAGTTTATACACCAATGAGACAGAGTTGTTCGATGGGTATAAACCCTATATAACGTTTATACACCAATAAGACAGAGTTATTCGATGGGTATAAACCCTATATGACGTTCATAAACCAATGATACAGAGTTATTCGATGGGTATAAACCCTATATGACGTTCATACACCAATGAGACAAAGTTTTTAGATAGGTATAAACCCTATACATCGTTTATACACCACTGAGACAGAGTTATTCGATGGGTATAAACCCTATATAACGTT